TATTGACCATCTTGAAGTTTAAAATTGAATTGTTGAGCACCATTTTAGTCTGTATTGGTTAAGGTTTTAATCTAACTTGTGTTTTATTTCCGGCGTCGCCGCTTGTTTGCCGCCCTGGGCCGTGCGGGTAGGGCGGGATATAAATCTCAAAATAAATAAATAAGTAGGGTCACCCCGGTTCGTACTTGGATGGGAGACCACCAAGGAAGTCCAGGGTTGCTATGCAGAGGCAGGCTACGGCAAACCATCTCTGAGTGTCTTCGGCTTTGACCTGGATGGCCCAGGCTAGCCTGATCCTCATCAGCTTTTGGAAGCGAAGAAGGGTTGGCTCTGGTTACTACTTGCATGGGAGACCACCAAGGAAGTCCCGGGTTCTTGTGCAGAGGCAGGCAATGGGAAACCATCGCCGTACGTCTCTCCGTATGAGAGCCAGTTCGGTGTGGTGGTCAGGAGCACGAACTCTAATCTGGGAGAACCGGGTTGGATTTCCCCACTCCTCCGCGTGCAGCTGCTGGTGGGACCTTGGGTCAGTCACAAGTTCTCTTAGAGCTGTTCTCTCAAGGGCAGTTCTTGAATGAGCTCTCTCAGCCTCACCTTCCTCACAGGGTGTCTGTTGCAGGGAGGGGAAGGGAAAGGAGATTGGAAGCCGCTCTGAGACTCCTTGGGTAGTGAAGGGCGGGGTATAAATCCAATCTCTTCTTCTTCTTCTTTTACCTCACAGGGTGTCTGTTGTGGGGAAGGGAAGGGAAAGGAGTTTGTAAGCCGCTCTGAGACTCCCTTGGGTAGTGAAGGGCGGGGTATAAATCCAATCTCTTCTTCTTCTTCTTTTACCTCACAGGGTGTCTGTTGTGGGGAAGGGAAGGGAAAGGAGTTTGTAAGCCGCTCTGAGACTCCCTTGGGTAGTGAAGGGCGGGGTATAAATCCAATCTCTTCTTCTTCTTCTTTTACCTCACAGGGTGTCTGTTGAGGGGAGGGGAAGGGAAAGGAGTTTGTAAGCCGCTCTGAGACCCCTTTGGGTAGTGAAGGGCGGGGTAAAAATCCAATCTTCTTCTCTTCTTCTTCTTTTCAGTTCTTTGAGGTTTCTGCTGCAAACAGTTGTGCTCATGTGACTTGTCTTCTGGCTTGGTAGCTGGTCGGCCGCTCGGGAGATAACAGGAAGCCGAACTAAATCAAACACCGGTCTGATCCAGCAAGTGCTCTTATGAGGAAGGAAAGGCAGCACAGTTTGCCTCTAGGATACTGGGATGTCAGAATAAGGACCTACGACCAGTACTCCCTCTAAGATGTGGAGTCTTATGAGCAAAAATTCTACTTTGTGAGCTACCGGCATTAGAGCTGTGGGTGAGCGATTTGGCTGCTGCATAAATCGGTTTGCTCTGGAGCCCTCCTTCCTGAGCTGAGACAAAAAAGTGTGAGCCGGAGGCTAAGCAACTGTGAGCTAGCTTACGATCTCCTTCCCCTCCCCACAACAGACACCCTGGGAGGCAGGTGGGGCTGAGAGAGCTCTTTCGCAGAACTGCTCCTGAGAGAACAGCTTTCTATTATTATTTTCGATTTATAACCCACCTTTCCTGCACAGGCAGGCTCAAGGCGGTGTACAACAGGTTAAAATACAATACAACACAAATACAAAAGAGCAATACAGTTCACGTAACAACACTGTACATACAAAGTGCAATTAAGTGCTGATGGCGATTGCTGTATGGTGGTCCAATATAGCTAAACCAGTATCCATAGTTGTTCTTAGTGCCAATAGCGTAAGGGCCGTAGCAGTTCAGTTTTTAATAGCTCTGTGCGAGCTTGTGACTGACCCAAGGTCACCCCAGCAGCTTCATGTGGAGGCGTGGGGAATCAAGCCTGGTTCTCCCAGATTAGAGTCCACGCTCCCAACCACTACACCAAGCTGGCTTAGAGTTTTTTTTGGGGTAGCCGTCTTTGTCTGCAGTAAAAGATCAAGGTTTAGGGGCCAGTAGAACTTTAAGAGATCAACGGGATTTCGGGGCCATGAGTTTTCGAGTGTCAAAGGTCCCTTCGTCAGATAAACTAGGAATGGAGATCCTTGAGTCCTTATTTCCCAGTCAGAAGGTGGGAGGGGGGGGTTGCAAAAAAGGGAATCAATGCAAAATGCAGAGAAGAAATGCTTTGGGGCACAAAATTAGCATCTCTAGTGAGATAAGCTAGAATTCCTGGCAGAGCCATTCCTCAGTGGAACAGGCTTCCTCGGGAGGTGGTGGGCTCTCCTTCTTTGGAGGTGTTCAAACAGAGGCTAGATGGCCATCGGACAGCAATACAAATTCTGTTAACTCGGGCAGATCACGAGAGGGAGGGTTGCCTCAGGGCTTAGTTCCCGCTGCCCTTTCTCACACGCCCAGGGAAATGCTGACAGCCACTTTGGGGTCAGGAAGCACTTTTTCTCCAGGCCAGTTTGGCTCGAGATCCTGGAAGGTTGAGTTTTTTGAGGGGTTTTTGGTCATCTTCTGGGCATGGAACAGGGGCCACTGGGGGTGTGGGGGTAGGAATTTGTGAATTTCCTTCACTGTGCAGGTGGTTGGACTAGATGACCTTGGAGGGCCCTAAGAACTCTATGATCCTATGACTCTATAATTCTTCACAGATCTTGATGGGTGGGTTGGATAGTCTGTGAGGAGGTGATCCTGGTACTCTGGCCCCAAGCTGTTTAGGGGCTTCGAGGTCAGAAGCAGCGTTCCCTCTAAGCTAGTGTGAGCTAGCTCACCGTTTTTTCGGCACTTTGAATTTTGCCCAGAACAAATGGGCAGCCAGCAGAGATCTTGCGGCCCAGGGGTAGTAAAAGTCAAGTCAAAAAACCCAGGTCACAGTGTGCAGGTACATACCAACAGACCAAAAACCACTGTGGTAAAATTACAATATGGTAAAAAAATTCAGTTCTTACTTTCAGTTCCAAGTCTAACAACTACTCTAGTTAAAAATCACAACAAAACTATTCCATTCAGCTTCATGTCCTTCTCCACTCCTTATAACTATGCTTTTTCCAGGAGAGTTTGACTAAGAAGAAAACAAATAAGAAGCTATACTGTTTTGAAAAAGAAACTAAGCGGAATCAAGAGGTTGACATCTTCCAACTTTGTAAGACTTCTTACTCATGAGGAAGATTGGTGAAATGAGTGTAAAAACCGGTGTTCTCATCGAGGATATGATTATGTTGGACTTTGCTTTGCCGATGCCTGAATTCTTTTACCATATTGTAAGATTAAGAGCTTTACAAATTGATGCTCATAGAATTATTAAATGTGTCATTGGTAATGTTACCACAGTGGTTTTTGGTCTGTTGGTATATAGGCCCAGGGGTAGTAGTCAGATATCCCACCAGAATACTCAAATGGTAATTCCAGGGGATACCCAGGCCCTGCCTGGAGTTTGGCATGCCTAATAGAGACTGATGCAGCATCGTGGTTTATTGAAGGCTGTGGTTTAGGGGTGATCCTTCCACCTTTACAGGTACGGTTTCTGACCAGAACTTTTGTTTCCTGGGCACTGTTTGTTTGTTCTGCATTTTTCTCCCTCCCAAGTGGCTGACAATATCTCCACCTTTCCCAGTTTTATCTTCACAAAACAGCCCTGT